GCCTGTAATGCCAGCGCTTTGGAGGGCTAAGGTGGGAGGATCACTTGAGCCTGGGTGTTGGAGACCAGCCTAGGCAACATAGTGAGACCCCAGTCTCTACCAAAAATTTTTAAAAGTTAGCCAAGCTTAGTGACCCAAGCCCATAGTCCCAGCTGCTTGAGAGGCTGAAGTGGGAGGATGGCTTGAACCCAGGAGGCTGAGACTGCAGTGAGCTGTGGTTACTCAGAGGTCTCAGAGCCGGGCTCAGTGGCTCATGCCTGTAATGCCAGCTTTGGAGGGCTAAGGTGGGAGATCACTTGAGCCTGGGTGTTGGAGACCAGCTCAGGCAACACATAGTGAGACCCCCAGTCTCTACCAAAAATTTTTAAAAGTTAGCTGCTTTAGTGACCCAAGCCCATAGTCCCAGCTGCTTGAGAGGCTGAAGTGGAGGATGGCTTGAACTCCAGGAGGCTGAGACTGCAGTGAGTCAGGTTGCACCACTGCATGCCAGCCCAGGCACAGAGTGAGACCCCGTCTCAAATCCTTTCATCTTTTTGGGCTGTAGTTGAGAACCATAGACCCACTATCCAGGAAAAAAAACAGTCATCTAACCATTCTCAAGCACATCCACAATGTGCATTCAAGTTGCCACAAATTTCAGGGAGGGGTCTTTTTGTTGCTGTTGTTTTCTAAGATTTTTTTTTTTGAGACTGTCTTGTTTTGTCACCCAGGCTGGAGTGCAGTGGCGCGATCTCGGCTCACTGCAACCTCTTCCCTCCCGGGTTCAAGCGACCTCCGCCTCAGCCTCTCCCGAGTAGCTGGGACTACAGGCCCACCACCACGCCTGCCAATCTTTGTATTTTTTTTTTTTTTTTTTTTTTTTGAGACGGAGTCTTGCTCTGTCGCCCGGGCTGGAGTGCAGTGGCCGGATCTCAGCTCACTGCAAGCTCCGCCTCCCGGGTTTACGCCATTCTCCTGCCTCAGCCTCCCGAGTAGCGGGGACTACAGGCACCCGCCACCTCGCCTGGCTAGTTTTTTGTGTTTTTTTTTTAGTAGAGACGGGGTTTCACTGTGTTAGCCAGGATGGTCTCGATCTCCTGACCTCGTGATCCGCCCGCCTTGACCCCCCAAAGTGCTGAGATTACAGGCCTGAGCCACCGCGCCCGGCCCCAGGGAGGGGGTTTTTGGAGCCCCAGAAGCCCGTCCACAAAGTCCTCTAGGGTAGTAGTTCTCAAGTAGTGGTGTTATTATCATTATTTTGCCTACACACTGCACATGATAACATATTCATTGCACGTACACACTGTCGATGGGGGACACCTTGTGGGCATGGCATAAGACGTGCAGTGTGAACAGTTACTGGACGGGAGCCCACAGAGCTGAGTCCGTAATGCCTGGTCTAATGGCCTAACCGGGTCTTTTTTTTTTTTTTTTTTTTTTTGAGACGGAGTCTTGCTCTGTCCCCCAGGCTGGAGTGCAGTGGTGCGATCTCCGGCTCACTGCAAGCTCCGCCTCCCAGGTTCACGCCATTCTCCTGCCTCAGCCTCCTGAGTAGCTGGGACTACAGGCGCCCGCCACCGCGCCCAGCTAATTTTTGTATTTTTAGTAGAGACGGGGTTTCACTGTGGTCTCGATCTCCTGACCTCGTGATCCGCCCGCCTCAGCCTCCCAAAGTGCTGGGATTACAGGCTTGAGCCACCGCACCCGGCTCTAACCGGGTCTTTGCTTGGACAGACGATGCGAGAGAGGGATTTCTCCTTCTCCAGACACTGCCTGGCACCTTGCCTGGGTTGCACAGAAGGAAATTAGGGGTAAAGGGGGGACTGAGCGTGATGCCTGGCTTCTCTCAGTTATTCCCTAGTTGTGGTATTTGCTTGGGAATGCCTCCTCTCACCCGAGAGAACCCCCTGGCTGTGCTCAGAGACTGGCTGGGAAGGTAGGCAAGGCCACCCCGATGGCCACGCCACGATGGGGCGTGCTGGGGACGGCCACTCCCCAGTCTCCCCAGCCTGGCTCCATTTGCGATCGCCTAGGGAAGGTGGGGAAGCAAATGACTCATTATCCCGGCAATTAGTCACACCACGGAGGCCCGTGATCCCTGCAGCACATGTGCCACCTGCTGCCCGTCTGCCCTGTTCAGTGCCGCTCTTCTCCCCACTCTGAGTGGGAAGTGCAGCCCCAGGAAATGATCACCCCCTTTCCACAGGCACAGACTTGTAGCTGCAGCAGCCCAGGACCAAGAGACTGGGACAAAAGGGTCATTCGCCTGTATATCCCAGGGCCACACAAGACCTCCAGGGACCAGGGGGACTGATCATGGAGAGGAGCTTGTGGACGCTTAAGCCAGATTTCCCCATGTGGGCCGGGTGCGGCGGCTCACACCTGTAATCCCAGCACTTTGGGAAGCCGAGGCGGGTGGATCACCTGAGGTCGGGAATTCGAGACCAGCCAGGCCAACATGGCAAAACCCCATCTCTACTAAAAATACAAAAATTAGCCGGGCGTGGTGGCGGGTGCCTGTACTCCCAGCTACTCGGGAGGCTGAGGCAGGAGAATCACTTGAACCTGGGAGGTGGAGGTTGCAGTGAGCTAAGATGGTAACACTGCACTTCAGACTGGGTGACAGAGCGAGACTGTCTTAAAGCAAAACAAGAGATTTCCCCCGTGCCCCATACACAGGATAGGTGCGCATACATCTGTCAGGATGCGCATGCGCGTAAATGTACGGACACACTGTGAAGGAAGGGCTGTGCTTAAAACAAAACCCTCCAATGCCTGGGCAGTGAAGAGCTCCAGCAGGCGGCCCTCAGGAGGAGGAGGGACCTGCCTGTTTCCCCAGCCCTGGGATGTTCTCGCTGAGCTGGCTGCCCTCCAGATTGGCCCCCGGGGCTCGCTCTCCCTTCTTGACTTCAGTCCAAGAGAGAACCAAGCAAAACTCCTTCTTAGGCAGGTGGTGGCTGCTAGTCAGTAACTAAAACCAAAGGCGAAAAAACAGGTGAGAAGTCCTATTTTCAGTAATTATTTCCTAACTCCAGGTTTCATGTTCTAACAGTACTAGTCAAAATAAACTTGACGGGGGCGGGCATGGTGGCTCAGGCTTGTAATCCCAGCATCTTGAGAGGCCGAGACAAGCAGACTGCTTGAGCCCAGGAGTTCAGGACCAGCCTGGGAAACAGGGCAAAATCCTGCCTCTACAAAAAAAAAACGTAAAAAGTTAGCTGGGCATGGTGGTGCATGCCTGTGGTCCCAGCTACTTGGGAGGCTGAGGTGGGAGAATCACCTGTACCACACAGGTCGCGCCTGGTATGAGCTGAGATTGCACCATTGCACTCCAGCCTGGGCATCAGAGTGGGTCCCTGTCTTAAAAAACAAACAAACAAAAAACTTGACAGCCCTCAATTTCCCCATTTCTAAGAGAGGAGCATCTCCACCCACTTGTGGGGCAGCCTTGGATTCTCTCTCCAGCACATCCTCTTCCTCTCCCTGTCGGGGAGAGTCCTGCTAAAACCCAGCTCTTAGAGGCTAGCTGTGGAACTGTGTCTGAACAAACAGGGTGAGGAGTCAGGAACTGACCTAGACCCAGTGCCTCCTGAGAGCCAGACCCCGTGTCGGGAATTTCACATCCTCCGTCTCATGTAAGTCTCACACTAGCCCTAAGAAGTCTTCCCATTTGACAGAGGATAAAACTGAGTCTTACAGCAAGTGACCATGCCAAGCTCAGACCTCGTTCTGTCTGTCTCTGTCTCCAGCACACCGCTCACTGTTTTCAGTCTGTGTGAAAAAACCACCTCCTTCTCCCTGCAATGTCCCTGCCCCCAACTAGACAGACACACCTGGACGTGGCGAAAGGGGTTTGGGCCAAGGTTTGGAGTCCTGGGTCCTCGCGTTGGTGGCTCTGCCACTATGTGACTGTGATTGAGTTTCTTCCCCTCTTTAAAGGGGCCTTTCCCTCCTCACCTGTAAAACAGTTAACTTGGCCCGGCCGGGCGCGGTGACTCACGCCCGTAATCCCAACACTTTGGGAGGCCGAGGCGGGTGGATCACGAGGTCAGGAGATCAAGACCAGCCTGCCCAACATGGTGAAACTCCATCTTTACTAAAAATACAAAAATTAGCCGGGCGTGGTGGCGGGCGCCTGTAGTCCCAGCTACTCGGGAGGCTGAGGCGGGAGAATGGTGTGAACCCGGGAGGCGGAGGTTGCAGTGAGCCGATATCGCGCCACTGCACTCCAGCCTGGGCGACAGAGCAAGACTCCGTCTCAAAAAAAAAAAAAAAAAAAACAGTTAGTTTGGCCCAATCACGTAGAAGCCCCTCTGCGCCACATATATACACACTTCTATTTTTAGAGTCTGTCTGGGCCCAGGGCAGCTCCCGCCATCTCCCACTAAGCCCTTCTTTTTTTCCTGCGGGGTCTGTCTGTGGAAAGTCCAGACAGAGACTAAGCCTAACCCTAAACCATGAATGGATGGAGGGAAGCCCTCCTAGCATGGGAAAGAGAAATCTCTCTCTCTCAGCTGCCGGGCTCCTCAGTCCAGCGGCCACTGTAGGGTCCGAGCTCTGCAGTGACTTCATCAATATTTTAACTCCTGCAGAGCCCTGTTTCTTAGCAACCGCATCCTCCGTGCCCTCCAGAAAGGCTCCCGAGTCGGGTGCCCCTCACAGCCCCGTCCTGTGGGTGCCGTGCTCTGCTGTCGGGGTTGGAGCCGCTCACGCCACCCTGAGTGGGAGCTTTGGTCCTCGTGACCCCCAGGGGTGAGGCTGCATACGGGAGGCGTGTGCACACCAGGCGAGGGAGAGGGACAGCTTGGCATGTCAAAGCTCTTCGCCCCTGGGCAGGAGCCGAGGGACTGGGAGGGGAAATGTGGAAGGAAGCCACGGTATCTCCCTGGCCTGCCCTTGGTTCTAATATGGGTCAGGGCTTGCCCTTACCCCTTGCCTCCCCACAGGTGCGGGGAAGAGGAGCTTTTCTCCCCGTTCCCCTGTCCTGCCCAGGCTCAGATGCTGTTTCCTTTGTGGCCTAGGTGCGGTGGAGGCTTGCCTCTTGCATCAGCTGAGACGCCGTGCCGCCGGCTTCCTGCGCAGTGACAAGATGGCAGCCCTGTTCACCAAGGTGGGGAAGACGTGCCCAGTGGTGGGGGAGATTTGCCACAAGGTACAGGAGCTGCAGCAACAAGCAGAGGGCAGGTGAGCCCTGGGCCAGCCCCTTCTTCCCTCCTTTCAGCTCTTCCCACTCGGCAATTGCTACTTCCTAGGACGGCCCATTGGAAAGTTGGCATCCTGGGCCTGTTCCTTGCAGGGCCTCTGGGTGAGGGATCAGCCTGAGGGTGGGGATTGGCTCTTTGTGGGCACAAGGCTCTGTACCCCTCCTTCGACTCCCAACCCCAGTCAGTTCTCTGTGCTCCCGTCTTGGGGCACCAAGCCCCACTCCCGATGCCAGCATTCTGGCGTTTACCCCAGACCACTGTACTCCTGGAGCCCTCCCCGCCTTTGCAGGAAACCCTCAGGGGCCAGCCAGGAGGCGCTGCGGAGACAGGGCTCAGCCAGCGGGAAGGCTCCGGCCCTCAGCCCTCAGGCCTTGAAACACATATGGGTGCGCACGGCGCTCATCGACAGAGTTCTGGACAAGATTGTGCAGTACCTGGCGGAAAACTGCAGGTGACTCTGCCCCGTCCCCCAAGTGGCTGCCCCGTCCCCCAAGTGGCTGCCCCGTCCCCCAAGTGGCTGCCCTGTCCCCCAAGTGACTGCCCTGTCCCTAAGTGGCTGCCCCGTCCCCCAAGTGACTGCCCTGTCCCTAAGTGGTTAGTGGCTGCCCCGTCCCCCCAAGTGACTGCCTGTCCCTAAGTGGTTGCCCCGCCTCAAGTGACTGCTCCTGTCCCTAAGTGGTTGTCCCGTCCCCAAGTGAAGGCCCTTGGCCCCCAAGTGACTGCCCTGTCCCTAAGTGGTTGTCCCGTCCCCCAAGTGGCTGCCCCGTCCCCCAAGTGGCTGCCCTGTTCCCCAAGCAGCCCCTCCTTTGACCTGTCTCCCAACAGTCCCTCAGCCCCAGCCCTCGGGATACTTGCCTGCGTGACAGCCTGTAGGCAGCCCTCCATCTCCCCATCCCCTTCACTGCCCTCAGGGCATTGGCCATGCCAGGCACCTCCCGAAGCCCAGTCCCTGCGGACTCACTGTTTCTTGGTGACTGATCTGAATCTGGTCTTTGTGGGATCGTCCCTACCTGGTGAGCCTGACTGCCCAGGAATGAGTCCTGGAGCCTCGGCAGTCACACTGTCTGTCTCCTGGCAGCAAGTACTACGAGAAGGAGGCGTTGCTGGCAGACCCTGTGTTCGGCCCTATCCTGGCCTCTCTTCTAGGTGAGCCTGAGAGCACAGGGGCCTGTGCCAGTCCCACGGTGGGTACGGGGCAGGTGCTGAGGGAGCATCGTCTGAGCTGGCTGTCTCTGTCCCACAGTGGGACCCTGTGCCTTGGAATACACTAAGCTCAAGACAGCTGATCACTACTGGACTGACCCCTCTGCTGATGAGCTGGTCCAGAGGCACCGCATCCGGGGTCCGCCTGCTCGCCAGGACTCCCCTGCAAAGCGCCCAGCCCTGGGGGTAGGTGCACCTGCCCACCCCCTCCCCACCCCTCGAGCTCATCTGGGCCATGCCCGTGGGCCTGTAGGGATGGGAAACCAGCCTCTCTACAGGACAGGCCTTGGAGATGCCCCAAGATAGTGGCCACCTGAGAAGAGCCTTCTCCACACAGTAAAACTTAACAGAGGCCGGGCGCGGTGGCTCAAGCCTGTAATCCCAGCACTTTGGGAGGCCGAGGCGGGCGGATCACAAGGTCAGGAGATCGAGACTATCCTGGCTAACACGGTGAAACCCCGTCTCTACTAAAAAAATACAAAAAAAAAACTAGCCGGGCGAGGTGGCGGGCGCCTGTAGTCCCAGCTACTCGGGAGGCTGAGGCAGGAGAATGGCGTGAACCCGGGAGGCGGAGCTTGCAGTGAGCTGAGATCCGGCCACTGCACTCCAGCCTGGGTGACAGAGCGAGACTCCGTCTCAAAAAAAAAAAACAACAACAACAGAAATGCCAGGAGCCCATGCTGGCCTGGGCTGGAGAGCAGAGGGTGGCTGGGAGTAAACCAGGGGCAGGAAGGACCCTGGGGTCAGCTGGAGAGGGTCAGCATGGAAGCCTGAGGGTTCTCAAGCCCTGAGGCCAGTTTCCCAAGACCGGGAGGCTGAGCCCTGACCTTCCACACAGATCCGGAAACGGCACTCCAGCGGCAGCGCGTCGGAGGACAGGCTGGCTGCCTGTGCCCGCGAGTGTGTGGAGTCGCTGCACCAGAACTCACGGACGCGGCTGCTCTACGGCAAGAACCACGTGCTGGTGCAGCCGGTAGGAAAGCTTCATCCTGCCACCCCTCCCCGCAGGTCCCAGAATGAGACGACTGGAAGCCTCTAGCCATGGCCGTTCCTTTCCTGAGGAGCTTGACGAGAGAGAGCGGGGGAGAACGGCCCCAGCTTCCCAACTCCCTGTTTCACACGCCTCATGCCCAGCCTTGAGTGGGCAGGGGCAGCAATGGCAGCCAGCAGGCGAGGGGAGTCCACAGCGTGGGTATGGCTGGCCTGGAATGGACCTGGCATCCAGGAAGCTGGCAGGAGAGAGCCAGTGGCACCAGGCTGACCAGGGAAAGGACATGCCCAGAGCTGCTGCCTGGGTCCTGTTTTCTCGTGCTTCTGCCCAACCCCTAGTCCAGGACCCCATGACTAGCCCAGCTTTGCTTCCCCTCCTCCCAGTGGGAGCTCATTTTTCACAGGCCATCCCTGAGAGCCTCTCAGCCCTTCATCGTCTCTGTCTTCCGGTGTCTCCCGCTGTAGAAGGAGGACATGGAGGCGGTCCCTGGCTACCTCTCCCTGCACCAGTCTGCAGAGAGCCTGACTCTGAAGTGGACCCCCAACCAGCTCATGAACGGGACTCTGGGGGACTCCGAGCTGGAAAAGAGGTGGGGGCGTTGGGACTCGCTCCCAGGAGCCAGGGCAGGGAGTGGGGTTGACCTCAGGCAGGGGGATGGAGAAACGCTACTTGCTCCAGGAGGCCAACCTCACTCTTTATCTGGATGCCAAGAATAGCAGGGAGCGGCTGTCCGGAGTGGTTCCCAAGCTCTCTAGGACGGAGCCAAGCCTGGCCATGAAGAGGTTTGTCTGAGCCAAGCTCTCAGCGGCTGAGACCGACAGCTGTCCGTGTGCCGAGCGGGCAGCACGGATCTCGGGTCATGGCTGGCTGTGTGCACTTCTTGGCTGTGGTCATCCTATCTTCAGGGGAGTTTCATGGGGTGGTAGGACCAGGAGATGGAAGGAAGGAAGGGTGGCAGGTCTTTGGACACGGTGACAGCAGTCTGGTTCCTTTCTAGCGTTTACTGGGACTATGCCCTGGTGGTGCCCTTCAGCCAGGTGGTGTGCATCCACTGCCACCAGCAAAGTAAGCCTGCCTTGTCCTCGCTCGGGTGGGAAGGGGGAGGCTGCCTTCTGCCAGCCGCGCACTGTGCATGGGGCCTGTGAGACTCCTCGTCCTCCTCCCATCCCTGTTAATGGGGCTCCCAGGCTGCTGTGGCCTAGCCATCTGCCTCCTACCCAGCTTGGGGGCGCTGGCCGGCAGGCTGTGAGAGCCGACGAGAGGGCCTCAGCCCCACTCTCCGCATTCACCCCCAGAGAGCGGCGGCACGCTTGTGCTGGTGAGCCAGGATGGCATCCAGAGGCCGCCACTGCATTTCCCGCAGGGAGGACACCTGCTGTCCTTTCTGTCCTGTCTGGAGAATGGGCTGCTGCCTCGGGGACAGCTGGAGCCTCCGCTGTGGACCCAGCAGGGGAAGGTAACTTGGGTGGGAGGCTTTGGGGGAAGGGCTGTGTGTGAGGGTTCTCTGCCCGCCTTCCCTCCTTCCCCACGTGGAGTTCTTGGGAGCAGCCTTGTGTGGAATCCCGGATGAGACTCTATCCTAGACAGCCCGACCACCTACCCCTCCTTCCACAGGGGAAGGTGTTCCCCAAGCTACGGAAACGAAGCAGCATACGCTCCGTGGATATGGAGGAGATGGGCATGGGGCGGGCCACCGACTATGTGTTCCGGATCATCTACCCCGGCCACAGGCACGAGCACAGTGAGTGTCCCGAGCTTCATCCCTGGGGAGGAGAGGAAGATGATTGGGGAGGCAGGGAGCGCAGCATCACCCAGGAGGGCAGCAGGCAGGGCCCACCGACCTGGCCAGGTTAACACCGGAGGCTCATCGCCTAGCCTCTCAGCTGGACCTTGTACCCACAGATACTGCCTTTGAAAAGGCGTGTCTCTTCTACCTAGCTCCCTCCCCACTTCTCCACCCCAGGACTCTCGGCTCGGCAGACCTAGGCGGCACTACACAAGACTCTTAGTTATCCTTTTGGACCCTGTCCAGGGGTAAAATACGTGGAGAAACTAGAAGTAGAAGGTGGGGAACCCTCCATTGCTCTTCACCTGCTCCCCGACCCCCAGAAGACAGCCTGGGTATGGGACCAGCACTTCTTCTTTTTTTTTTTTTTGGAACAGAGTCTCACTCTGTCGACCAAGCTGGAGTGCAGTGGCGCGATCTCAGCTCACTGCAATCTCCGCCTCCCGGGTTCAAGCAATCCTCATACCTCAGCCTTCCGAGTTGCTGGGATTACAGGTGCCTGCCACCACACCCGGCTAATTTTTGTATTTTTAGTAGAGACGGGGTTTCACCATATTGGCCAGGCTGGTCTCGAACTCCTGACCTTGTGATCCACCCGCCTCAGCCTCCCAAAGTGCTGGGATCACAGGCGTGAGCCACTGCGCCCAGCCCGGCGCTTCTTTTTGGATGGTGAAAATTGTCCACTGACTCCCCTAGAGCCAGAGCCCTCCTCAAACCAACTACTGATGAGCGTTAGCTGAAGTAGCAGGTTGCATCAGAGACAAACTGGGGGCTCCCTGGGGACTTTAGGGACTGGTAGGTAGAAAGGTGGCTTGGCCCGTGTGCGTCCTGCCCCACCCTGGACACACACCCCTGGGCCCAAGGGGGTCCGTCTGTCTTTGTGCATCGACCAACACCAAAGTTCCCTTTCTGGTCAAAGTGCTGCTGCTACCCCTAGGTTTCTGTGGGCCAGACCTGCTTTTCTTACAGATAAGGTCGCGGAGTTTGGCAGCCCAGAGCGTTTATTGCCAACAAGAACACCCGCTCCCTAAATTTCCTAACTTGTGCCCAAAGGTTGTCAACAAGTTGTCTCTGTAGTAGGGACCAGACTGCCCAGACTGCACGCTCAGCCACAGCACACACAGCTCCCCCAGGCTCAGAGGGCACACAGCATGGGATGTCCCCGCTCCCAGATGTACCTGACAAGGAGACACATCTTTGGCCAGAATGTGTCTCCACACTCGGTGCTTGATCTCAGGCTGTTGTTTGGTTTAGCTTCTCCAGTCTCTGCCTCCCCTCTTCGATCTTTGCCATTTCCCAGTCCTGGTCACTTCACTTCAAGGACCGTCTCCCCAAGGGCAAGCCAGGGCACCAAGAGGCTGAAACTCCACCAGGCGACGCCAGCTCCTTGAGGACAGCTCTGGGGACACCCTTTCCTTTTCCTGGGAGGGAAGAAAGTGGAATTTATAGTCTGAAAAGGGGGATTTGGAGTAATCTTCAGATTTGGTCCAGCCTGAGAGGAGCTAGAGAATGATCAGGACCCATCTGCCAGCCACTATGCCCAGCCTGTGCGAGGGCCGATGGCCTCCTGGGCTGCCAGCCCGTTGCGAACAGTCCCGGTCGTCTCACATCCTGCCACCTCCGTTCTCTCTCTTCTGTTCTTCCTAGAGAGGCTGCCTCCGAAGAGTGAGGCTCTGCAGCTGCCCCAGCCCCTCACCTCCTTCCACACTGTCCCAGGAAAATCATCCAAAGAGCTTTCTGGTCCCCTCCCTTCCCCTCTTCTGTGCCCTGCAGAATCACGATGACCCCGGCCTCCATTCCACTCCCCTTAAGGAGGGAGTCCGTCCTGCCCAGGCATGAGGGTCCTCATGCCTCTGCCTCTTGCTGTTCTCTTTGAGCAGTCACTATTAACTACCACCACCTAGCGGCCAGCCGCGCGGCCTCGGTGGACGATGATGAGGAAGAGGAGGATAAACTGCACGCAATGCTCTCAATGATCTGCTCGCGGAACCTCACAGCTCCCAATCCGATGAAAGGTTTTTATCCCTCCCTCTCCCTGACCCACCTCATCCCCACCCTCCCTCCCGGGCCCACCTGCCACCCACCACAGGGGCGCGAACGGCAGTGTTGGCATTAGGGGACTTGCACCTAGGGCAGTTCCCTTCCATCAGGGGGCAGATCAGGGAGGGCAGAAGGAGGCCAGACAGGTGCTGGCAAGTAAAGGGGCTGGCCCAGGGCAGGTGGCTCCAGGCTGCGAGGAGGGCGCTTCGGGCCTGAGAAGGAAGAGGATTTGCTAATAAGAACGTCTGATTATCTGATTGCCTCCTGGGCACCCTGAATGGCTCTCTGAGCCCATTCGTGCTCCGGGGGTCAGGCTGGCAAATTCCCACTCTTTCTGCTGACTGGGAAGACCAGCCTCTGGGCCTGGTGCTTCTGACTCCTGACTTAACAGAAATAGGACGGAGGTACCGGGTCCTTCCTGGGGCAGGGGCAGCAGCTTTGGGTCAGGCAAGGGGTTGAGGGCTGCCATGGGAAGGGCCCCAGGGCTCCGTTTTCCCCGGAGGCCTGAGGGCCCCAGCAGGCAGGGCCTGGTGCTTTGGCATGAAATCTAGAAATAGCTGCAGCATGGTGTCCAGGAAGGGGCCAGGCTCAGGGCCTGGCAACATGAGCTCCCACCCCAGATATGCCCCTGGTTCCCTATACGGTTTCGAGCAGGTTCCTCACTATCCCAGAGCTCCGTCTCTTCGCCTGTGCCAGGGATATAAGACAGCTGTGTTCCTGCCCTCATGAACCTCAGGGTCCATGAATGGAGAGGTCCCCTTTGTTGGAGGTGATAGCGTGGTACCCTCAGCCTCTCAGGGTTCCTCTGCCTACCACCCGTCTTTCCTAGCACAGAGCTGGCTTGGTAGAGAGGGAGCCCTACTCTTTCCAGCAAGCCATCAGCCAGGCGGCCTGTGAGGACTGGGCTGGGTAGGAAGAGACTGAGGCCAGTTCTCCCAGAGACGAGGGGAGCTTCCCCATCCCCACCCATTCCCAGCTACACAACCAGTTGCTTCTCCCTTTCCCCGCCCCTGCAGAGGATGCCCTCAGAATATGTCACACTCCCCTTAGGCTTCCACAAAGTCCTGCTGGGAAGCCCAGTTCCTTAGCCGGCCACTAAGCCAGTCATAGTCCCCGGGCAGGCAGGGCGGCCTGGTCTGTGTTAGAACACACCCAGCACACCCTCCGCACACGCTGCCAGCTGCCCTCCTACTGCCAGGCGCCTGCCCTCATGCCCAGCCTCCCTCCCAGCCCTTCCAGTATGAGCCTGTAGGCCAGGCCTGGGTGGGAACATCCCGCCTCTGATGTTTATTGCCTGCACACACCCCTGCCATCTGGTTCCTTGCAAACCTGGACTTGGGGCTGTTGCCTGTTTACAGTGGACTGACTGAGCAGTGTGGGAAGGTTGAGCTCTGAGGGCACCCACAGAGCTACTTCTTCCCCCACGAACTGGTAGTCAGGCTAGAGACTGGAGGGTCCTAGCAGAGCCCTTGACAGACTCGGTGATAGAAAGCCTATCCCTGACTAGTCTCAGGGCTGAGGCCTCCGGGATCAGAGAAACTTCCAGGCCCACTTCCAGGGGTCCAGAGGCCTCAGGGCTCATCTGTGTACCCTCTCAAGAACTCAGGGGCTAGGCCAACCCAGTGTGGAACTTCTGGGCCCCTAATACTTGGGAAAGGAGAGGAGGCATAAGAGCAGCATCAGCAGGCGGTTGGGGAGAGGGCTGGGGAATGGGCCCCCACCTGCACTCCAGTCCATAATGACAACACTGTTGAGTCCGTTCTACCAGCTGTTGCTTTTCAGGCCTGCAACATGCTTGACTTGTGCATGTGAATCAGTGGCGGGGTGTCCAGATTTCCTCTCCCTCCCTCTTCCTCTCCCCTTCCTTTTCCTGCTGCCTCCCCACAGAGCAGAGATGCTGTTCACTCTAATTCTGCTCCAGGCCACGCACCTTTCACTCGGAGTCTTAGGGGCTGTGGGGTTCGCCACACTGTTTTCATGCTTTACACTTCCCTCATGCTCAGAGGAGAGGGTCAGAGTCAAAGCCGACCCAGCAGACCCCCCGTCCAGCCTGCGCCCTCACTCAGTCACGCCATAGCCCCAGCTGTCTGCACTGGGCTCGTTCAGAGACACAGTGTTCGAATGTGGCTGGTTCAGCTCCTTCCTGGAGGATTAAGGTGAAGAGCATTGACCCAGGAGACATGCCTTGGCTGGGCCTCCTTTCTGGGCATGAGCTTGGTTCCCTTTGCCCACCCCCGCCCTCACCCCTGTTGCCCTCCCTGCCTGCCCGCCTGTTGCCTGCTGCCTGCCTGGCTGGGCCTCTTCCCACCCCGGCTCCTCCCGGGACTGTCCTCTTCTCTCCTTCCTGCTGCAGGGGCCTGAGCTAGGCTCCTGCCCTACTGCACCTGTGCCCTCTCCTTCTTCCCAGAGTCTCAGGCATGGCTTGCAACGCCCTCACTCCCAGAGCCGCAGCCCCTCCTCACCATGTGTGTTCCCTTAATTTGCCTCCTGGTGGAGCTGAAGTGCCAGATAGCTGCAAACCTCACGGCTGTGGGTCTGGGAAGAGAGCCCCGGCCAAGGCAGGGCAGCCGCTGAGGGAACTGGAAGGGGCTCAGCTCAGCCCTCCCCACCAAGGCACACCCAGAGCTGGAGTCCAGCTCCCACCAAAGCCAGGCCCACGCCTGCAGCAGGCCACAGTGGACCCCGGCCCAGGCTGAGCCAGCCAAGCAAACCGCTGCCCACAGGACCCCCTCAGCACACACGGCTCTCCGTCCCTGTTCTTCCGAACTCTTCTCCACTCTCTCCCTCCCTCCTGGCATCACCCCCAGTGCTTCCACTTCCTCTCTCACTTTGCTTCATCTCTGTGGCTCACTGGACCTGCCAGAGTCCCCCTTAAGCAGTGCCCTGCCCCACTTGGACCCTGGGAGCTCTCAAGGGTCTTGAGTTCTGATTCAGACCACCTGGGCTGGCTGAGCAGGCCCTGTCTGCTGGCAGCATAGCTGTGACCAAGGAGTCATCTTCTGAGGCTGCAACTGGGCCTGTTCTTCTCTGTCACATTGGATGGTGGGCCTCTGTGCCCACCACCACCCCCATCCCCGCCTCTGTGCCCAGCCACCACCCCCACTCCCTCAGTGGCCTCGTAGCCCTGGGACCTGTGGCTTCCATCCAACTCGCTGGTGTTTTCGGGAGGCCACCATGCTAAGAGCTCTCAGGCTAGGCAGGGATGGAGTAGAACTCAGACAGGGCCCGTGGGAGCTGGCAGCAGGGGTGCCTGGCCTGGGCACGGGGCACTGCTCATCCGTAGCCACTGGCCACCAGATCTAGACTCCCTTAGAAGAGTCAGGCCTACAGGCAGGTGACTCAGATTCCTCAGGGGCTTTGAACAGTGGGGACTCCCTGGACACCTTGAGCATCTCAGAGTTTGCCAAGAGGACCAAGCTGAATCCTTGCAGGCTAAGCTGGCTGGTGGCACTTTGGGGAGCTCAGGTCTTGGTTCCTTCTCTCGCTTTCCCTTCCCTCTAGAAAAGCAAGGGCTTGCTGGCCGCAAGATAGAGCTATAGGCACAGTCACCCAAGACTCAGTCCAAATGTTTTACCACACGCAGAACGACGCCTGGCTGCCCCTCTCCAGGCTTGCTGGAGGCTCGGAAGTGTCAGGCGCCCTCTCTCCTTACCGTTTCCATCTCTGGGCTCCGGACCAGGCAGTCCCCGCTCTGTGCTTTTCCACCCGTGGGTGACTTGATTCTGCAGCTCTGGGCACAGAGGTGGGCATGCTGCAGGGTGCTGGGAGAGAAGGTTTCTCGGGCCCTGACCGTGCCATCCTTCCTGCCCTCAGATGCTGGTGACATGATCGAGATGCAGGGCTTTGGGCCCAGCCTGCCAGCCTGGCACCTGGAGCCCCTGTGCAGTCAGGGCTCCTCCTGCCTCTCCTGCTCCTCCAGCAGCTCCCCACACGCAGCCCCCAGCCACTGTAGCTGCATCCCTGACCGGTGAGTGGGCAGTGCTCGGCTCCAGCTTCCCGTTCGCATGTCCGGCCACGTGTGTGTCCATCTTTCCTTAAAGGCCGTGTCACTCGCACGACAGGGTGGCCTCTAGAGTGGGACAGACCTGGGTTCAAATTTCACTTTTGCTACCCACATGACTTGCAAGTTACGGAATTACCGTGAGCCTCTACATGTCTGAACCTCAGTTTCCTCATCTGTAAAATGGGGTGATGCTACTTGCTGCTTATGGTACTTGTGAGGACAGAAGGAGAGAACCCCAGCGAATGTCCAGAGTTGTGCCCGGCACATCATCGGCTCAGTCCCCATGAGCTCCCCTTCCCGATGTGCACACAGACGCTGCTGACAGGCCGTCCACCTGCGGACACTCAGCAGCCACCTGCCGTGTGCCAGGGCAGTGAGTGAATGGCTTTTATGGGAGGTGTTCTCTTTTACCTTTACTTCGTTTTTGTTTATTAATCTTGGTGCCTCTCTCCATTTTTCACATGAGGAAACGAAGATTCACACAGATGAAGTTCATTGACCAAGATCCCCAGGTGGTTGGGGGCCAGGCGGGGGCCCCACCGCAGCTCTATCCGGGGTGGCAGGCAGGGACAGGGCGCCCATTGACGGCTGCTGGGCTGCAGCACCTCCTCCTTGCACCCTCCCCAGTGCCCTACCTGCCCCCCAGGACAGAACCTTCCCCCTTTTCTCTCTCCTCCCACCAGAGGGGCCGCGGTCCCTCCCCGCTGAGCCAGGTTGTTCCCACAGGTTGCCGCTCAGGCTACTGTGTGAGAGCATGAAGAGGCAGATCGTGTCCCGGGCCTTCTACGGCTGTGAGTGTGGGGCACGCCGGGGTGTGGTGGGCTGGGGGTGGGTGGCCCTGGGTCCCAGCCCCCCGCTGCCCACCGCTGCCCACTGCTGCCCACTGCAGGGCTGGCACACTGCCGCCACCTGTCCACGGTGCGGACCCATCTGTCAGCGCTAGTGCACCATAGCATTATTCCACCTGACTGGCCGCCGGGGGCCTCCGCAGGCCTCACCAAGGACACGTGGAGCAAGTATCAGAAGGACAAAAAGGTGCCAACCCTGGGGTTCCAGGGCCACAGGTCAAGGGGCTGGGGTGGGCAGGAGTGAGGACTTCAGGGTAAAATGTGGCAGTGGGCGCGGTTGACAGGCCAGGGCCGATGCCACGGAGTGACCGGGGTCCTGGCAGAATCTCTTGCATCTGGGCATGGGGCTGACACGGGAAGGGGGCTAGACTGGGAAGCTGTCCTGCGTCCACATCGCCCTGTGACCCTGGATAAAGCTCGGCCTCTCTCCGGGCGCCGTTTCCTGCCCCATAAGGAAGGAGAGCAGAACGAGATCTCATCCCGCTGTGAGCCGGGTCGCGGGAGGATGTGGCCACCCCAAAGCAGGCTTTGCCTGAGCTTCAGCAGTCACTAGAGGCCCCGGCCCAGCCCGTTCTCTGTGGGATGGGGCTCCCCGAGCTGGGCCACAGTGACTGTGGAGGCTGCACGGTCTTGACTCCCTGGGTCCCTCAGAACTACAAAGAGCTGGAGCTGCTGCGGCAAGTTTACTACGGAGGCATAGAGCACGAGATCCGCAAGGACGTCTGGCCCTTTCTGCTCGGCCACTACACGTTCGGCATGAGCAAGAAGGAGATGGAGCAGGTAAGAGAAGCCTGTTCCCATTGGGCTGGTGAGATGGGGAGATGGGGACACCAGGGAGGGGACCTTGGAAGCCTCAGCCCCTTCCCAGCCAGAAAGAAGCACGGCAGGGCAGCTCGACCGCCCTTACCCCGAGGCCCATCTTGAGTCTGAGACTCAGGACCCAAGGTCCAGTGCAGGCCCAGCTCCTGAAGGGGAGCGCCTGGTGCACGCTTCCCCCATGGTCGTGGTGTGGTCTGAGTACAGGTGGATGCAGTGGTGGCAGCAAGGTACCAGCAGGTGTTGGCAGAGTGGAAGGCCTGCGAGGTGGTGGTGAGGCAGCGGGAGCGGGAGGCCCACCCAGCCACACGCACCAAGTTCTCCTCGGGCAGTAGCATCGACAGCCACGTGCAGCGCCTCATCCACCGAGACTCCACCATCAGCAACGACGTGAGCCACACGGGGCCTGGAGGGTTGGGGATCTTGGGGGCCACCCCCGTTTTATGCACAGTGATCCTGGGCACCAGCCTGACCTCTGGGAACTGGCGGGGCCCTGCGAGAAAGGCCTAATGTGGCTGTGTCTCATTTTCTCCAACTGGAAATGGCTAACTGTGCCTCTACCACCTATTTCTCTGGGTATTGTAGGAGAATAAAGTGAGAGAGTGCCTTGTGCTCAGTTTTAGCCAACTAGAGGGAAAGACGGACTTCCTGGGATTTAGGGAAGCCCTCCTCCTTGTAGAAAGACCTCAAAGCTAGCAACAGGCAGTGCTGGGTTCTAGCCCCAGACCCACTACTGACAAGATGAGTGTTTCTGGGCAAGAACTTCCCATCTCTGGTCTCAGTTTCCCCTCTCCACCCATATCCTCTGACTGCAGAGGCTTCCTGAGAGCTGTGGGCCTGAGAATAGGGGAGCCCGTAGAGCAGCCCCATTGGTGTCGACTGGCAAGATCCTTCCTCCCACGTTGTTGCCTGCCGCTGCACCGGACTATGCCAAGCTCGCTCAGAGCACGAGAGAGTAGCTCTTTCCGGCATCATGCCTGCCTTTCCAACAGCAAGTTCTAAACTGTGACTGCCTGGCCCAGCGAACACTGATAAGTGTCATTTTTTTTTTTTTTTTTTTTTTTTTTTTTGAGACGGAGTCTCGCTCTGTCGCCCAGGCTGGAGTGCAGTGGCCGGATCTCAGCTCACTGCAAGCTCCGCCTCCCGGGTTTACGCCATTCTCCTGCCTCAGCCTCCCGAGTAGCTGGGACTACAGACGCCCGCCACCTCGCCCGGCTAGTTTTTTGTATTTTTCAGTAGAGACGAGGTTTCCCCGTGTTAGCCAGGATGGTCTCGATCTCCTGACCTCGTGATCCACCCGTCTCGGCCTCCCAAAGTGCTGGGATTACAGGCTTGAGCCACCGCGCCCAGCCAACTTTTTTCTTTAAAATTGCCTCTTTATTGTGTATTCTTGTTACTTTACTAAATCCTTACTAACATTAACAGAAAATGCAAGTTGAAGGAAGTTAAATCTAACTGGCTGGGTGTGGTGGCTCATGCCTGTAATTCCAACACTTTGGGAGGCAGAGGTTGGAGGACTGCTTGAGTTCAAGAGTTCAAGACCAGCCTGGGCAACATGTGAAACCCTGTCTTTACAACAAATGCAAAAATCAGCCGCATGTGTTGGGGTGCGCCTGTGGTCCCAGCTACTCGGGAGGCTGAGGTGGGTGGACCACTTGAGCCATGGAGGTTGAGGCTGCAGTGAGCCGTGCTCCCACCACTGCACTGCACTCTAGCCTGGGCCATGGAGTGAGACCCTGCCTCAGAAATTAAAAAAAAAGAAAGAAAGAACTAGAACTAACAAGGCACATTCTCATTTCCCACGTGCTTTGTTCTTAATCCCCTATTCAGGAACACATTCTCCCTCTCTCTGGTTTTGTAAAAATCTTAGTCTGTGCCAGTGCCCGGCTGCGGAGCTCACGGACAGCAGTAACGTTCCTCACTGGCATATCCGGTTGCCACAGAACTGTGGCCTGACCCAGCACTTCATGCTTCCTGCCCAAAGCAGAAACTGCTTTTACCATCGCTTTCCCTACATGGTCAAAATAGAGAAAGAAAAATCCCAAAGAGTCTCGGGGCGTCTCTTCTCTTCCCCGTGCCTTGTCCACGGTGGTGGACTGTGTCTAGTGCTAGAATGTTTGCTTTTCCTTCTTACGTCTCCCCACCTTGCCTGAGGGCTAATGGAGCTGACCAGGTACTTGTCACAGAATGCTCCTGTCTTGTCCTGCTGAACATTCAATACTGAAAATAAGGAAACACTTGTTTTTCCTAAAACCTTTAGCCTTCTCTCCACCCAGGGTGTCCTGGCAGCCACACCAAAACACTAAGGACGTCTTCCTGTTCTCATGACTTTAGGCGTTTGGAGCATGAGACTTAGTTCAAACTGGCCATTAAGCGTTCAGCCCTCTGGCTCCCTTTCTTCCCTTCAGTAGCCACAGGAAGACCTGGAGCTGTTGCTTCAAGCAGGGCTGAAGGCGGTATCTTCATGTTTGGCCAGAGGCTGCTCTCCGTGGCCGGCTGGGTCGGAAGCTGGCTTGGTGCTCCGTGGCAGCGACGGTGTTGGGGGCTGTGGTGGGAGAGGGGGTGTGAAGAGTTTTGCATTCCAGCTCCCTCCTGGCCGAGGCGGCTGCAGGAAGGTACTAGAGTGAAGGTGGAGCCGCCCTGTGTTCACCCACCAGGTGTTTATCTCTATGGATGATCTGGAGCCCCCAGGGCCCCAGGACCCTGAAGATTCCAGACCAAAGCCTGAGCAGGAAGCAGGAGCCGGGACTCCGGGCATCGCCGCGGTGGAGCAGCAGCATTCCGTGGAGTTCGACTCCCCAGACTCAGGACTGCCCTCCTCCCGCAATTACTCCATGGCCTCGGGCATCCAGTCAAGCCTAGATGAGGGGCAGAGCGTAGGCTTCGAAGAGGAGGACGGCGCCGGGGAGGAAGGCTCCAGTGGGCTCGGCCCTGCAGTTCACACTTTCTCGGAGCCCCAGGATCCCAGCCAGGAGAAGCCTCCTCAGGCCGGAGAACTGGAGGCGGGGGAGGAGCTTGCAGCTGTGTGTGCAGCTGCCTACACTGTGCGTACACGCTCCCCAGGCGCTGTTCCCAGCTGCCCAGAGGCCCTCCTGACATCCCAGTGCTGGGGAAGGGCCAGCGGGGTGGAAGGCGGGGTGCCCTGACTGCCCTGAAAGGGAGTTCTGAGCCCATTTCTCAGCATCCCCAGAGGACTCGCTCTGGTCTCGGGGTTCCCTGTTTTGCTGCATTTCTTGGGGCACATTCTGTCCGCAGCCTGGGAAGGGCTGCGCGGTCTCATGCCTGAGGGCCCTCCACTCTTCCAGATAGAATTACTGGACACTGTGGCCTTAAACCTGCATCGCATAGACAAGGATGTGCAGAGATGTGACCGCAACTACTGGTACTTCACGCCCCCCAACCTGGAGAGGCTCAGAGACGTCATGTGCAGGTGCCTTGTGGGGCGGGACTCAGGGTGGGAGGTGGGACCCTGCCCCCGCACTCTGGCTCCCGCCAGTTACTCTGAAAGATGAGGTCCGGAAGCTGCCCTGCTCCTCCCTCCTGCTCCTGAATCACACTTGGCTCCCCCTGCCTGGAGAGCTTCTTCCCTGCAACACCCCTTCCCCGCCCCTCTTCATTCTTAGAGGTCCACCGAACCTCCCCTTCAGCCGCTTCTTCAGGAAGCTGTCCCTCATCCCCGCCCCCGCGCCCACCTACCAAGCATGACGGCCTTGTCTCTCCCTAAGTCCTGAGTGCCTTGGGGGGCCCGTGGGTTGTTCCCCATTGTCTCCTTGTGGGGGGTGCACAGTACATGGCTTAGGGTCAGGGAAAGGCTGACTTCCGGGCGGCAGGTGGTTCTGGAGGCCTTTTCCCCAGGGATCCCGAGGGAGGGAAGAGCCACAGTGACTCTGCCCCTGCCTTTCAGCTACGTGTGGGAGCACCTGGACGTGGGCTATGTGCAGGGCATGTGCGATCTGCTGGCACCTCTCCTGGTCACCCTCGACAACGGTGAGGGATGGGGGATCAGCACCTCTCCCAGTCACCCTAGACAACAGTGAGGGATGGGGGACGTGGGACTGGGCACCTCTCCTGGTCACCCTCAACAACGGTGAGGGATAGGGGATCAGCACCTCTCCCAGTCACCCTAGACAACAGTGAGGGATGGGGGACGTGGGACTGGGCACCTTTCCTGGTCACCCTCAACAACGGTGAGGGATGGGACGTGGGACTGGGCGCCTCTCCTGGTCACCCTCGACAATGGTGACAGATGGGGGACGTGGGACTGGGCGCCTCTCCTGGTCACCCTCAACAACGGTGAGGGATGATGGACGGGACTGGGCGCCTCTTCCTGGTCACTCCTCAACAATGGTGAGGATGGGGGACCTTGGGACTGGGCGCCTCTCCTGGTCACCCTCAACAACGGTGAGGGATGGGACGTGGGACTAGGCTGCAGAAGCTGGAGAAAGGACGAGAGGGTGGCCAGGTCTGGAAGCACAGGAATGGGAGCCAGCCCTGTCCCGAATGTCCTGCCCTGCCAGCTTTACCCCGGTCTCCCCTCAGATCAGCTGGCCTACAGCTGCTTCAGCCACCTCATGAAGAGGATGAGCCAGAACTTCCCCAACGGGGGTGCCATGGACACCCACTTTGCCAACATGCGCTCCCTCATCCAGGTGAGGCCGGTTGCCACCCACGGGCATGGGAGCAGGCACAGCCGGGCTTGTCCATCGTCCACAGGAAGGCTAGGGAGCTTTCCAAAAACATACTTGACATAGAAACTTAATTTCTTTCATTTTAAAAGACATGGTTTTGGCCAGGCAAGGCTGCTCAGGCCTGTCATCCCAGCACTTTGGGAGGCTGAGGCGGGTGGATGACGAAGTCAGGAGTTCGAAACCAGCCTGGTCAAGAGCGTGAAACCCCATCTCTACTAAAAATACAAAAATTAGCCGGGCATTGGGGGGCGCCTGTAGTCCCAGCTACTCAGGAGGCTGAGGCAGGAGAATCGCTCGAACCCGGGAGGCAGAACTTGCAGTGAGCCAAGATTGCGCCACTACACTCCAGCCTGGGCGACAGAGCGAGACTCCGTCTCAAAAACAAAAAACAAAAAACAGAGAACCATGGTCTCAGTGTCTCAGTGTTAGAACTTGAGGAGGAGGCCGGGCGCGGTGGCTCAAGCCTGTAATCCCAGCACTTTGGGAGGCCGAGACGGGCGGATCACAAGGTCAGAAGATCGAGACCATCCTGGCTAAACCGGTGAAACCCCGTCTCTACTAAAAAAAAATACAAAAAACTAGCCGGGTGAGGTGGCGGGCGCCTGTAGTCCCAGCTACTCGGGAGGCTGAGGCAGGAGAATAGCGTGAACCCGGGAGGCGGAGCTTGCAGTGAGCTGAGATCCGGCCACTCACTCCAGCCTGGGCGACAGAGCGAGACTCCGTCTCAAAAAAAAAAAAAAAAAAAAAAGAACTTGAGGAGGAGTGTGTGTGAATGCTTGTGCCCATGAAAGCTCTGGCGAACAACAGGGGTTGCTGATGACATCAGATACCCAGAAAATCGTATAACCCTAAAAATAAAGCAGCCCTGAGAGACGGGTGATGGGAGGGGTAGCAGGGAGCAACCCAGCCTCCACAAGGAGATCCAAGGGGGAGAGAGTGCACCGCGGGGCACAGGGCAACAGACAGACCCACTGCCAGGGCTGGGGATCGCGTGCATCCCTGGGCGTGAGCGGAGGGTGAGTGGTGGCCAGAGAGGAAGCATCGGCTCAGGGTTCTCCCTTTTCCCACCCACATAAGATCCTGGACTCAGAGCTGTTTGAGCTGATGCATCAGAATGGAGACTACACCCACTTCTACTTCTGTTATCGCTGGTTCCTGCTGGATTTTAAGAGGGGTAAGAAGTGGGTTGGATCATGGGGCTGAGGTGGGGGCAGTAAGAGATCCCTCTTCCCCAAAGCCAACAGTTCTCAATCCTAACCGGACCTTGGAACCAGCTGTGGAGCTTTAAAAAACTACCAGTACCCTGGGCCCCACCCAGCCCCAGACTTACTAACTGTGGCTGCCTGGGCCTGTGTGTTCTTAAATGCTCCCTGACCAGACACAGTGGCTTATGCCTATAATCCCAGCACTTTGGGAAGTCAAGGTGAGAGGATTGCCTGAGCCCAGGAACTTGAGACCAGCCTGGGCAACATAGCCAGACCCTGTCTTTAATTTCTAAAATAGAAAAAATTTGGCTGGGTGCAGTGGCTCATACTGTAATCCCAGCACTTTGGGAGGCCGAGGCAAGCAGATCACTTGAGGTCAGGGGTTTGAGGCCAGCCTGGCCAACATGGTGAAACTCCATCTCTACTAAAAATACAAAAATCAGCCAGGCGTGGTGGCGGGTGCCTGTAGTGGAGGTGAGGTTACAGTGAGCTGAGATTGTGCCACTGCACTCCAGCCTGGGCAACAGAGCCAGACTCTGTCTCAAAAAAGAAAAAAGAAAAGAAAAAAAATTAAAAAGAAAACAAAATCTCCCAAAGTGCCGCCGGGGTTGACAATTAAAACTCTCATAGGTCATGGTTTGGGGAACTTTTTTCAAACCAAAGCATTCCTGAGCACCAAGATGGGAGGCCCGTGATGGAGCTGCCCGGCTGAAGTGCAGGCATAGAGTCTGCAGGAACTCAGTGTGCAGAAATTACCCAAGAAAAGGACGGGGCCTTGGTATGGGGTACAGAACCCCCATTTTTGAGCCAGGCTGTGTCATGGAGAGAATCCCAGGACTTTGGCTCCTGAAGCTCTGACTCCTCACCTGGCTCCATTTAGAGGCCCTATGAGCATCCAGCCAGGCCAGCCAGTGTCAGCCCCAGCCTCAGCCCCAGCCCCAGTCTCAATCCCAGCCTTAGCCCCAGACATGCGGCTGGGACAGGTGAGCAGCAGCCGCTTACTATCCCCAGAACTGCTGTACGAGGATGTGTTTGCTGTGTGGGAGGTGATCTGGGCAGCCAGGCACATCTCGTCGGAGCACTTTGTCCTGTTCATCGCCCTGGCCCTGGTGGAGGCCTACCGAGAGGTCATCCGCGACAACAACATGGACTTCACCGACATCATCAAGTTTTTCAACGGTACGAGCTGCTCCAGCCATCCCAGCTGCCCCGAGCAGGGGTGTGGAGGCCCCCACCTCTGCCCTGCACACAGTTGGAGGGTTCTCAGGAATTCTGGGGGCCCTTCCCCAAAGGCAGGGATGTCCAGAATCTAGCAGAGCAGATGGAAACAGAGCAAGGTAGTCAGCCACCTCCCAGCCTGCTGCCCTTTCTCTGGGCCTCCCTACAGCTGTCCGTGTTTCCCCCCAGAACGCGCTGAGCATCACGATGCCCAGGAGATCCTGCGACTTGCCCGGGACCTCGTCCACAAGGTGCAGCTGCTCATAGAGAACAAGTGAGCTGGGGCCAGGAGGCAGCAGCCGGGCAGAGCCTGGACCTCGGGCACCTGGGCTCCGGCAGGGAGAGGTGCAAGGGAATCACCGCCCAGACCGCCCCAGCCACCAGCCGACCCCACCTCTGTTCCTAACAAAGTGACTGTGAGCCTGGGATCCGACTCCCGGCAGTGCTGACCCTGCAGGGCAAGCCAGGGGCCAGGATGCCCTCAGATCAGGGCCGGGATGGGAGCGGTCAGCCTCAGGGAGCAGCTGCCTTGGGGGACACACCTACTCTGCTCCCCTCTCAAACATCTGGGAATAGTCCCACTGCCACCTGCAGTCTCAGCCTGGACTGTGGCCCATGAGTGAACCTGGGGCCCCATAGGATTAACAGGGGCTACAGTGGCCTGGGCCCTACTTCGCTGGGGTGGCAGAGGGCGAGAGGCTCTGTGCTGTGTCCCTTCTGAGGGTCCCTTTGCAGCCCCAGTATACTGTGTGTGCACCAGCCCCAGCTGGAGCCGCCAGAAATGCTGCCGGGTTAGGCATATGTCCTGGGTGCAGCAGGCCTGCGGCGCCTTCGGGCCGCTCCCCTGAGATTCTGGGGCAGTCAGACGATGTGGGCCCTGGGCGGGAGCAGCCCACCTCAGCAGCACTGCCACTGCCTCTGGCCACCTGAGGTGACCCCCAGGCCTCCCGGCCCTGTGCAGCGTACCTCTGTGTATCTGTGCAGCCTCACTCCTGCCACCCACCCCTGCGTTCTGCATTAGGTACTCCTCTGAAAACCACGTGTAAGTGACGCTCTGGCCATTCCAGTGGATGATCTGGAATGCGACCGGAGCACTTGCTCTGAGGAATCCCGGGGTGATTGTGTAGGGGAGCAATCTGGTCTCCTCTCAGGGACAGGCCTCCGTTCTGGGGCAGCCCGTCATCTGTCGCAGACATCTGCTGCGTCCCTGGGGCTGTGGAAGGCAGGGGATGCATGGGTGTCCCGACTGTCCCTGGTGAGAAGCAAAGCTAGCTCTGCCTTCCACATGCACCTCAGGATGCCAAGAGGCCTAGGAACCCAGAAACCCCCTTGGAGGAGCTGTGTACACGGGGGTGCCCAGAAGGGCACAGCTCCTGCCCCCAGGCCTAGGCATGCTGCTTGCTTGGCCATCCCCACTTCCTCCTCCACCCCAACACATGCAGGCTAGGCCTTGCCCTGGGACCTGGAGGCCCTGCCTGGGGCTGGGGCCTGTCCACAGCCACCGAAGTCTGGCAGACTCTGCATTGGAGAAACATGATAAAGGGCCCCGCAGCCCTTCTGCACCCAGGACAGCCTGCCCAGCCCTGCCCTGCCCCTGGGCATTGCACAGCCTGTCTGGGGGCCAGACCGTCCCATTGTCCATCCTTGTTGTCCATGAGTCCTCGGCCTCCACCAAGCACGTGTGGCCATCGTGTGCCTGCCTTAGTAACTCTGTGGTTTTGTGAGGGGCAGAGTGTGTATGGTTTTTGCCTCAGAAACTATACTCTTCTGTGTAACAGACCAATAAACAGCGTTTGCCAACACTGATGCCTCCGGGACTGGACGCTGAGAGACCACATGCCTTCTTTACGCTCCACAGTTGGCCAGCCCCAAAAGGCGAGGACAGCAGAAAGAACTAAAGTTTCCAAGAGAGAGGCACTCCAGCCGCCAGTCCGGAGGGTGTGGGCTGGTCAGGAAGTCAGGGTGATTTGACAGCCAAACCTCAAGTACTCAGCACCTTGCAGGGCACCTCACCGCAGAGTCATGGCCCCATCTCACAATGACCAGTGGCCCCTCTAGCCTGTGGATGACAGAAGGTCCCTGTCCCATCCCTACCCACTGCCTGCCCTCCTGACCAGGCTGCAACGAGAAGCTGGAGCTTGACTACGCCACTGCAGCCGGTGGCGACGGAGCTGCCCTGTGGCTCTCACCCCCTGAGCACTGTCTGAGAGGCCTGAGGGGAGTGTCAGGAGGAGTCAGACCCTGCTGAGCTATGGACAGGCCCAGCTGTAACAGGTCTCCACCTCTCTTCCTGCCCTTCCCCAACCGGAGTGCTACTGGTCCCGCCGTCGATGGCTCCAGGGAGAAGACACCAGTCACCCAACATGTTTTCTGTTCTAGAGGACACTGGCTTCCTGGACATTAGGGCATGTTGTCCACTCACTGAAAGCTAAAGACCCCAGCCCATGGTCCTAGCAGGCTGAACCCAGCTTTATTTTATATATCTATATACACATATATATGTGTGTATGTATATATATATAGAGAGAGACAGACACAGAGTCTTTCTGTCTCTCCCAGGATGGAGTGCAATGGTATGACCATGGCTCACTGCAGCCTTGAACTCCTAGGCTCAAGCGATCCTCCCAACTCAGCCTCCCAAGTAGCTAGGGCTACAGGCGCACCACCATGGCTAATTTTTATATTTTTTTGGTAGAGGCAGAGACTCACTATGTTGCTCAGGCTGGTCTTGAACTCTGGCCTCAAGCAGTCCTCCCACCTTGGCCTCCCGAAGTTCTGGGATTACAGGCTTGAGCCACTGCACCTGGCCCTGAACCCAGCTTTTAGGAAAGAATACAGACTAGTGGCCAGAGCTGCCCAAACAAAGAAACCAGTTGACGCAGAGAGCTCTGGGGCCAGGGAACTTGAGGAGCCCCTCCAGGGAACACCCCCCAGCGGCCAGCTGACTCTGTTGCTTGGAGGAATCAGAATTCCCTTTGCTGCAACCACCTAAAGAGAATTTCACCTAGCCTGGGAGTAACCCAGTTCCTTCACACACTTCCATCCTGCCCTACTCCCCCAGACTACTGGACTGGGATCCTGGGACCAGAGGGAATCGTGAAGCCCAAACCACGGGACAGCTGGGGGCGGGAAGAGCAAGCAGCACAGCGGGCTCTCAAAACACCATCTCGAGGAACCTTCGCACTCTGGAAAGTCAGGTCTTCCTCTTACAGAACAGGAGCTGGTAAACGGACGCACCTGGATTCATACTTTATCCTGACCACAGGCCCCTTTCTTACAAGCTCCAGCTGAGCTGTGGGTGAGGGGGAGCCTTGAGTACAGCTTCTGCCTAAAGAGTTAGTGACAGCCCTCAGATGACAGCCAAGTCATCACTGCCACGGGAGGGTCTTCATTTGTGTTCCCAGTGGGCACAGGGCCTGGCACGGAGTACGCACCCAGGAAGGGTTAACCCTCACCCTACCCCTTCCCTAAAGCGGCACTAGTGGGCCAATGGAAGTGACCCAGCTCTTCCGGGAGCTACCAGCAGAGGGAGCCCGCGTCTCACAAGTGAAAAGGGCAGGCGCAGTGGGGAGGCCTGGATTCAGAACTTTCATTTTAAAGTTTTAAACATTTTTTGAGACAGAGTCTCACTCTGTCCCCCGGGCTGGGGTACAGTGGCAGGATCTCGGCTCACTGCAGCCTCCGCCCCCCGGGTTCAAATGATTCTCCTGCCTCAGCCTCCTGAGTAGCTGGCACTATGGCACTACCGTGCCCGGCTCATTTTTGTATTTTTAGTAAAAACGGGGTTTCGCCATGTTGGCCAGGCTGATCTCGAACTCCTGACCTCCGGTGATCCGCCCACCTCAGCCTCCCAAAGTGCTGGGATTATAGGCGTGAGCCACTGCGCCCAGCCTGAACTTTTTGAAGTCAACCCTTTCAGAGAACAGGATCCAAGACACCACTCCCTTCCTCAAGGGTAACCCCTACCCACCCCACCTCAGGAAGAGACGCAGAGTCCGTCTCCCCTGCGGGGACTGGGAGTCAGACAGGTACTGTTAGGGTGGAAATGAGAAACTGGGTCCCCTCAGCCAGCCTGGTCTCCAGCAAGGCCCAGCTAGTGGCCCCCTGACCTCACTTCCCACACTGCCACCTCCCAAGACAGCCTGCCCAGGGACAGAAGACACAGCCGCAGGGACAAGGGGCTCCCAGCCCGGCTGAGAACACGGCTCTTTGGCCCCTGACCTCCAGCCTCTTCTCCCCCTTGTTCCTTTCCCTTAGAGGACAGCTGTATGGACTCCCCGGCTGACCTGTCAAAACCACACCCCAAGCAGCAGCTTCTCAGGAAGCTCTCACCCTCTGTGCCCAGATCCTGGGGCAACTCCCCTGTACCTTTTTCACTGGATCCGAGTCTAGGACTGGCCCCGGGTGCCACAAAGGGTGGCAGATGCTGGGTGAGAACTCTGTACCCAGTGGAGAGGTCTGACTGCAGCTCCAACGAAGTCTCCAGCTAGCCGTGTGGCCTCGACAAGTCACTGGGCCACCTCAATCCTGTTTCCTTATCTGCCAAAATGGGGCTAAGTCTTGCTTATTTACTTCACTTGGCTGTTGAAAGATGAAACAAGATCATACTTGTAAAATGGTCTGAGGAGATAGGAAACTCGGCAGAAGTTTCAGACCGACCAGAACTGCCATTTTCAGAGCGGCGGAGGCACCCGGTCAGAGCTGCTGGAGGACTCTGCTGGGCAGACGGGGTTGAGACGGGTGATCCCGCCGCTCCTGCCGCACGCTTCCCTACAGGCCTCTGCCTCCTTTTTACAATAAAATGACCCAGATGCTGCAGGCTGGCAGCTCCATCTCAGGTTTCAGTGCAGGTTTATTTCAATTTTATATTTTATTCCAGGCAAGTGCTTATTACATGGATAGTATTCATGTCTCGGTAACTAAAGTCTTGGAGCATGAACAGCCACTAGAATACAGTTCAATAGTAAAAATACAGTATGTACAAAATTAGGGTTTTTGTAGTTTTTGTTTTTGTTTTTTTTTCCCACACAGCAGATGTATCCAAACACATAAAAATCTCTACAGTCTGGGGTCGCTACAGTTTATATTTCAGGAAACAGAGACACAGTGGCCGAGTCCTCACTGTAAACAAGGGCCACCTCTTTGGGGGTTGGGGGTGGGACCCTGGGATGGGGGGAGAAGCAGCTGTTTCTGGAGAAAGAAGGGGTCATGGTGACCCCCCAAGTTACCCTCCAGGCGTTCCCTGCCTTTGGCCCCCCCAAGGAACCAACCTCCCCCTCTCCCCGAGGTAAGGACTCCCAGCCAGTGAGCCACTCTGAACATCAAAAGGTAAAACACGCATGAGAGGTAAGATGTGTGTGTGTGCGTGTGTGTGTGTTTGTGTGTGTCCCAGGCTGGAAGGGCTAGGGAGGGAGTGGCAGGCGGTCCCACAGGGTGAGGACAGATGTGGTCCTGACAGCTCTCAGGGGGAGACGCCCAAGGAAGGGCTGGGTGGTGGCTGCCCACTTGGGCACACAGCATCACAGCGTTCACAAACGACAACAAGAACAACAGCAACACCCATCGTCACTAATCTGGACATAGTCATTCGGCACTAGATTTGCAGGCCCCCACTGCTGGGGGACAGGGACGGGGAGGGCAGCGGGTGGATGATGAGGTATCTGTGCAGGCCCGGGGGCACTGGCCTCAGGATGCAGGGAAAGCTGGGCAGGCTGAGGGAGGGGCGAGCTCCACACCCTACTCTGACCGTCCCGTGGGTCAGGCCTGCCATCGCTGTCACAATGGGAATAGCAAAGCTGGCTCTCCCAGAGCCAGGGGGTCTGGCGGAGGTGGCTGTGCTGGGGTGGGTACAGGGCTCAGCCTCTGAGGGTGGTGACCTGGTTTGTAACTGTCCCTTTACCCACACCAGGAGAGAGAAATAAGGAAACAGTCCCCTGGGAGATGTCCAGGACCAGGAGGGAATGGGAAGGGAATTCTTAGGCATCTAAGGATTCTTTATTTCAAAAGAAAATCTATTCAAGACCTTTGCTGACCTCCTGTGTGCCTGCAGGGCACTCCAGGAAATCCTCAACTCTGTCCCCTCCCTCCTGGCCCCCTCGCCTGCCCATCAGTGTGAACTTGACACCCAGGGACACTGGCTTCCTCCCGCTACACTGAAAGGCCACTGGTGTGTGTCCAGGTGGGGAGCTGAGCGTGTCTGACACAAGGCCACTTGTAATAAATATCCACATACAAGGAGAGGCCAAAGCAGGCTGCCCAGGCAGAGGCAGAGAAAGCCACGCCCTAACACAGAGCCCCTGACTCCTGCCCGTTCCACGTTCAGCCCTGTCCTTGAGCCAACAAGGACCTTTTCTCAGAGAAAGGTGCTGCTCAGCAGCTCCCCGGGGAGGGCCCACTCAAAAGTGCCCCCTGGAGAAGCCGGGTGTTGAGGGGATGGGAGGACACAGGCAAAGGGCTGGAGCAGCAGCAGCAGCCCTAGCTCCGGCCCTGTTCTGTATAGGCCCCAGGGTTGGTCTGGGGACAGGCTTAGGGCTTAGCTAAGCCGCTGCGTTTTTACCTTTCTGATGCCTCAACGATGTGGCTTCTATGCTCCTGGAAACAAGACCAGCGGCTGGTCCATGTCTCCCAGACCGTAGGAGGCGCCCAAACCTCACAGGCTGCCAGGCCCACCTGTCCCTCGGAGGAGTGCCCAGCACTCAGCAGAGGTCAGAGATCAGGGGCTGAACACAGGACAGCGCCCCTCTTTGCTGCCTTCTGGAAGCCAAGAGCCAAGCCCAGAGCTAGGGACTGGGGACAGATGCCC